TTAAACGCCTTATATCGGTCCATGATCTATTAATTAATTAAACGCCTTATATCGGTCCATGATCTATTAATTAATTAAATGCCTTATATCGGTCCATGATCTATTAATTAATTAAACGCCTTATATCGGTCCATGATCTATTGATTAATTAAACGCCTTATATCGGTCCATGATCTATTAATTAATTAAATGCCTTATATCGGTCCATGATTTATTAATTAATTAAACGCCTTATATCGGTGTTTTTGTTGTTGTAAGGAAAGTGAATTGTGTTGTAATTTTAGAAAGATGGTTCTTGGTTATTTTTAAAATCGATTTTACTTTATTTTTTGTCAACATTCGTTGAAGTTAAGCGCAAAGTTACACAATTGGCTATCTGTGCTCTGCCCACCACGGGTATCGAAACCCGGTTTCTAGCGTTGTAAGTCCGCAGACATACCGCTGTGCCACCGGGGGCAAAATAATAAATAAAAAAAAGCTGTCAGTGCTCTGCCTACCTCGGGTATCGAAACCGTGACGTTATAAACCTTCAGCCTCACCGATGAACTCCTGGGGGCCTTTTTTGTTGACAATATCGAATTATATTAACATTAACTCTGAAAAATTGTTTTGTTTTCGTAGTTTACACTTGCTTACCGACAGACGATTTTCTTGTACAACGAAAAAAATCCTGGTGGTAAGGAAATGAGTCAAGTCCAAATACCTTTTGTAAATATTTGAAGAAAAAAAAACGAACTCATTACGTCCGCCACTGAAGGTGGATGGAGGTTATGTTTTCACTCCTGTGTGAATGTGTGTGTGTGTGTGTGTGTGTTTGTCAACAAGATTTCTCGAAAATTGCTGAATGGATTTGGACGAAAGTTCGTATACATTTGGATTATGATCCAACTTAAAAGTGATTAGTTTTTGGAGGGTCAAGATCGAAGCAAGGGTAACGAAAATCCAAAAAACTCTATCTGTTAACATGGGGGCCGTTTTTCACACTATTTTTGCTTTAAAACTCAGTCAAAAATGATCGGATTTTGATGAAACTTAGCGGTCGTATGTAGAATATTATTCCTCATTGTTTAGTCAAAAATGGTCCGTGTCCGTTGATAACGACGGACATACGGACACATTTTCGTATTTTTTGAGAGCCGAATATGACCAACGTTGACCCTCTAGTTTTGAAATGTTTTAGGTTATTAAACATATCAAGTGAAATAAAACAATCATTGTTCTGCGTTAGAAATTAGTGTAGGTTTCACAGAAGGACGTTTTCCTGAAAGCTATATAATATCTAAAACAGAAACTGGGAATTTATTTAAAGTAAAACTTTCTTTATGAAGAAATGTGGTAAACTTTAAAGCATAAGTTAAAATAAAAACTTAGTACTTTTACTTAATATAAAAGTGATTCTAAAATTTTCAGATATTTCAGAATTTGATATTCTCATTTACACGATATTCTACAAGTTCGGAATGAAAAAAAAATATTGTGAACAAAGTACTCTTAGCTACTAGCTATACCCGAGTGGACTGTTATTGTATGTTGTTGTTTTTTTAAGCGCTCTTATTGACTTTTGTTTCCTGTCTTTGTTGTCTTCGTCTTGGTAAATTGGATTATTCAAACCTTGTTGGACATGCTCTATTTGGCGTTAAAAAGAAAAGACTGGTTTTAATGTGAACATTGAAATTTAAAGAATGTGTTTTCTATGTAACATCAGAATTTAAATAATGTTGCTTGTTTATTTGTAGTTAAGCATAAAGTTACACAATGGGCTATCTGTGCTGTTCTCACCATGGATATCGAAACCAGGTTTTTAGCGTTATAAAGTAAACGGAATTAGATGAATGACAGATTTTTTGCTTTGATATAACATTTCAATTTATATATATCTTTGTAATATATATATATATATATATATTACGTAGTCACGTGGGGGGGGGACAAAATTTGAATGTTGTTCTCTATGTGTCAATGCATAGTTTAAATATAGAGCTTATGAAAGTATACGTGAAATTCAAAGTTGATTGGTTGCTTGTTTTATGATAAAGCCACATTGAACTCTCTGCTGGGTTTACTGTGGGGAATCTTACCTCGAATTTTAGCGTTGTAAATCCGTAAAATTCCCGCTGTCCAATTGGGGGTACCCATTGTTTAAATAACTGTTATCGCAAGCCTAGGTACTTCTTGCTAGGTTCATTACTCAGATCTAGCAGTCTTTAGTTATAATCATGCCTGTTATCGCAAGCCTAGGTACTTCTTGCTAAGTTCATTACTCAGGCATGATTATAACTAAAGACTGCTACATCTGAGTAATGAACCTAGCAAGAAGTACCTAGGCTTGCGATAACAGGCATGATTATAACTAAAGACTGCTACATCTCTTGATGATTCACATATCTTAATAATAAATGTTAGTTTGAAATAATATTATTCGACTTTTTATCTTTAATAGTTTTATATCTGTTTATTATAAAACTGATTCTCATCCATTTTATACTTAGAATAAGATAATTGGTTGATGAAGATGAGTTAAATGAAGATGATGAAGATTCGCAGTAATTTAAGGTTTTAAAAGCATGAGCAAAATGTGATATTTGAAAGAAGAAAATTAGTTGACAGTTTTGAACGAGAACGAGACATTATAACTGAGGTCTTAAATGTAAGAGTCGTTGGTATAAAGATATTTTATTTCATATAGAAAGTATGTTGAACGAAATGAATTTTCTGGTTCTGGACGCCCGAATATCATTACAATGTACTGTTTCATTAACTGTGTTAATTAGAGCTTGGATCAATCATCTCCATGTTCAGTTTATACTGTTAACTTAACCAATCTGTGTTTGTGTATGATCTTCATGGACCACCAAAAAGTTCTATATCTGACAAAAGATCGATACCGGTTGTTTCACGCGCCATTAAAAGAAATGGAGTAGGTGTAGAAATCTACGGAAATGTGTAACAGAAATGGCATTTCGTGCGTATAACGACGCAAGGAAAGTAGCATAGAGTAGTATTAAGTATACATAAGAACTGTGAGCCATGAGGTAGGCCTAAAGGACTTGTTTTGTTGTGAATTTCGCGCAAAGCTACATGAGGGCTATCTGCGCTGCCCGTCGGTCCCTAATTTAGCAGCGATAGGCTAGAGAGAAGGCAGTTAGTCAAAACCACCCACCGCCAACTCTTGGGCTACTCTTCTACCAACGAATAGTGGGATTGACCGTCGCATTATAACGCCCTCACGGCTGCAAGGGCGAGCATGTTCGGTGAAGGTGGATTCGAACCCGCGACCTTCAGACTGTGATTCGAGCATCCTAACTACGAGGCCGTACCAGGCCAGGCCTAAAAAAATCGAACTATGATTGAAATGAAAGTCCGATGCGATAAATAATATAGGCTTTATATTCTCGAATCCTGTGATTTTAAGGATGTTCCACTTTGAATATTTTCCTGTTTGTGGTTTGGACGAGAGTAAGTTTGACATTAATAATAATTATAATATATTCCAATGGAAAACATTCACATTGGGAAGGAGGGTTACAAAGCACTAAATAAATAAACGCATTAAATACAATTATACACTCATTAAACCGTAATAATATTGTTCATGTTTTTAGGTATTTACAAATCACTTTGTCCATTGGTATGTGTTTTCAGTTACTTTAGCCTTCTCTGTACACATGTTCGTTCAGTTACTTTAGCCTTCTCTGTACACATGTTCGTTCAGTTACTTTAGCCTTCTCTGTACACATGTTCGTTCAGTTACTTTAGCCTTCTCTGTACACATGTTCGTTCACAATCAAATCGAAATTAGTTGTTTATGGTGAATTAAAAATAAATAGAAATTACAATTTACATTGTGTCTCAAAAAAATAAAGGCACCGAAAATAAAGACTGCTTAAATGTTCTAACTTTACATAAGCTGAATCTTCTCTTCAATACGGTACATATCTCCGTAATTCATTGCCCCCCTGTGACACAGCGGTATGTATGCTGACTTACAACGCTAGAAACCGGGTTTCGATACCCGTGGTGGGCAGAGCACGGATAGCCAATTGTGTAGCTTTGTGCTTAACTTCAAACAAACAAACACCCGTAGCATCGGGGTGGCCTAGTGGATATCTTGTAGGGCTGTGAATCAGAGGGTCCATGGTTTGCGTCCCGTTGCTGCAAAATCGCGCTACGAATATCTCGTGGACGTGGGTGCATTATAGAAGTCATTACTAAATTCTATTATTCTAATAGAGTAGCTCAAGGGTTGACGGCGGGTGATGCTGACTTCCATTTAATATGTGAGTTCAAGATTAGGAACGTCTAGCGCAGATATCCCTGTTGCAGCTCTGCGGGAATATCCAAACATTCAGTGTATACGTTAGCAGCTACAGTATCTAGATTTGTTACGTGTAAAAGTAGAGAATTCAGCCTATTAGGTAAAGGTCAAGGATCATATTAGACCGACTGAATAACTGAGATAAAAATAAATCAGGACAAAGGACAGGATGAGGTATGGAAATATATCCTGTGGAAAAAAAAAAGGTTGACAAAGGAAGAAGGAAACAATAGAAAGACTAAACTGATCAACTATGAGTGTGGATATAGCAAAGCACTATACAGGCTAATGACAATATAATTTGTGATCTTAATACCATAGTATATTACATTATATTATGTTCTTTTTATGTTTGTAGAGACATGCAAATACAGGAACAATAGAACGTAAACTGATTGTTAATTTGGAAGCTAAATTCTGGGTAAGCTGTTGTTAATTTGGAAGCTAAATTATGGGTAAACTGGTTGTTAATTTGGAAGCTAAATTCTGGGTAAACTGATTGTTAATTTGGAAGCTAAATTCTGGGTAAGCTGATTGTTAATTTGGAAGCTAAATTATGGGTAAACTGATTGTTAATTTGGAAGCTAAATTATGGGTAAACTGGTTGTTAATTTGGCGCTTCCTCACTACTCCACTGTGCGTAATACCTTCTAATTAACAGATAGGTATTATCAAACCGGATATATACAAAATAATATCATTTATCAACGACAACTCTTGTTAATATTCAATATTGTCCAGTTTTGTTGTCTCGCCTGTAACAAGCTGATTATTGGATGGAACTTGTATTGCCGTAGTTATAATAAGGTTAACTGTTGATTTAATATCCTACCAATGATTTTTCAAGGGAATGAACACACCCGTATAGTTACTGTATTTGGTTCGAGGAAGGCTCGAGAAAAACCGCTCTTCGTGTTTCTTTTCTCACCTACTCGAGCCATTACGTCAATCAATAAACACCAGAATCTCGTGCAACAAAAGAAGTTGTAGCAAAAAACACAATTGAAGTCGTTCATCGTAGTTTAAGCTTGGGTTTACTTATTGTAAACGTACTGATAAGACTCCAGAAATGGGAAAACAGATTTTAAAAAAAAAGTAAGCCTAGATGTGTATACTTCGTTTCTTTATATAAGATTCTCAAATAAGCTACAAGAATTTTTAAAAGAACTGTAAAAACGTGGTTCGTGCTTGTACTTCTAACTTAGTAACGGCGCTCGACTCGCAATCTGAGGGTCGCGGGTTCGAATCCCCGTCACACCAAACATGCTCGCCCTTTCAGCCGTGGGGCGTTATAATGTGACGGTCAATCCCACTATT